CGCCTGCAGCGCCGCCTGCTGCGCCAGGAGCTCGGCGCGGGCCTGCTCCGTGCGCTGCACCTCCTCCTGCGCCCGCTGGAGCTCCTCCTTGGCCTTGCCCATCGCGCCTTCCGCCTTGTCCAGCCGCTCGGCGCGCTGCTTGGCCTTGTTGGCGATGGCGTGCGTCCTGGCGTGGAGCGGCGTGTGGGCAAACAGCTTGGCCTTCGCCTTCTCGAGCCTGGCCCGCAGCTCGTCGCGCGGCGCCTTGGCCCAGCCCGCTGCCACGTCCTCGAGCGCCTGGAGGCCCGACTCGCACTACCTCGGCGGCCAGGGCCGCATCGTCCTCGCCAGCGGCGGCGCCGTCGTCGACCGCCATGTCCTGGCCCCCCGCGAGCTGAGGGCCCCGCCGCCAGCGCCACTGGCGCCCTTGATCTGCTCCTGGAGCTCACGCTGCGCCTGCGCCAGCTGCACCGCGAGCGGGCCGCCGCCAGCCGCCCATGGCGGGACCTTGCCGCTCGCCGCCCCGGGCTGCTTGGCCACCGTGCCAGGCTGGGGCAGCGGCACATTCGCCCCGAATCACGCGTGCTTGGGCAGCCTGCACGCCACTTGAGCGCCGTCCCCCAGTTGACCACCGCCCGCCCGCGCTTGCTGACGCAAGACTTGCAGGTCCAGTCCTGGTGCACGGCCCCCTTGGCGCGCAGCCCGCCGCCCGCCATCCGATTGCCCACGGTGGGGCCCAGACGAGATGGAGATGGGCGGCAGCTCGGCCTTGAGGTTGCTGCAAGAAAACCAAAACTTGCCGCGGACTATCGGATTCCACTTGACTCACCCAGGAGTCTCGCATCTTGAGCCGGAATGGCTACGGTGGAGGAGGAGGAGGAGGAGGAGGAGGAGGAGGAGGAGGAGGAGGAGGAGGAGGAGGGCCTCGTGCTCCTCCCCCTCGTGCGTCCACCTCTTACTTTTCCTCGTGCTCGCTCCTGCAGCTCCTCAAGGAGGAGGGTCGCAGGTGGGCGAAGACAGCGGCGGCGACGGCGACGGCGACGACGGACCTGACCCGCGGACCTTTTCTGGGGCGCGATGTCGAGGCGGATCGACGGCGAGGAGGACAACCCTGATATTCAGCGTCACGAAAATCTGCGACATCGTAGGGCCGCATCTTTATGTGGCACTTCTTGAGCCAGATTGATCCGCGAATGCCTTGGGGCCCGAAAACATGCGACGCCACTGATCTCAGGGTCGGATAGCTGGCATTCCTACCGTCTTTTGAGAGGCCTCCGAGCCTCTGATCGCGGTGCATTCTCCGCTCCGCGCCGCAGGGCGCTCGGCGGGTCGCGCTAACCTCCTCCGCTTCCTCCTCTCCCTGCCCCCCCTCCTCCGCGGAGGTCAACGCTGACGGCGGCGGCGGCATCGGCGGCGGCGGCGCCGGCGCTGACGCCGGCGGCAGCGGCGGTGGTCGCCCCCCGCGCCGCAGGCTCCAAGGATCGGCGAGGCGCTGGCGGGCTGGGGCCAGAACTTCGTGCAGGCCGCGCGCCTCTGGGGGGGTCGTCGTGGCCGCCGCCGCCGCCGTCCGCCGTCGCTGTCGACCCCGAGAGCCTGGCGTCGCAATTTTTCAAGTTGCAGGAGGTTTTCTGTTCTTCTTCGGCCTCCCCAGGGCCCTCAGCGGGCCCCGAGGCCGTCAGAGAACGACTCAGGATGAGAAGCCCGTCCCGGAGAAGGGGTCGAGACCTCGGGCGGTCCGCGTTGTGAGAAATTCATTATCTTCCCTTGAGATCCTGGAGGCGTATTTCTTCGCAACGGACGATTTTGCCTCGTTTCGTGCCCGGGACCCTCACGGATCGATCCGGCTCGGAAAAGGGCCGCACCAAGAAGGGGTCCAGAGTTTGGGTCGAGTTGTTCTACGATGTTGCGACTTTTTCGTGATGTCGGATCTCAGGGTCGCCGTGGCCGTCGCCGTCGCGCTGGCTGTCGCCGTCGAGTGGCCGTCGTTGTTTTGGTCGTCGCCCTCCTCCTGCCTCTTCGGGGGGAGAAAGCTGTTCTCGCGGCAGCTCTGTACGGAAGGGGGTGCGCGCGCCGCAGGTCTGCGCGCATCGCCGCGTGCGCACATGGCCTTACACAACACAGTCGTTTTATTTCAGAGTGATTTCTGGCGGCCCTGGGCCCAGAACTGGCCCTGCAGAGGCCGAGAGTGAGAAACGCCTCTGTCGCCTCCCTCCTGCTCCTAGGCTGATCCTTCCGCCCTCCCATGCCTCCGCTCTGGCCCGTCCACGTCGTCGCCATGAAGAGCAGAGGTCCGGCAGGAAGCGGCCCGTGCCTACTTTCAGGAGCGGCCCGACCGACTCCTCGCAAACCGACCCTTTCGTGACGACCCCCACGCTATGCTCCGAGACGTGGGCGGGCGCCCAGAGTGGAGCCTCGAGGGTGAGGGGCTCGTCACGGGAGAGGCTCGGCACGGCAGGGGTCCGGCTCGGAGGGCTTGTCCGAAGGGCTTAGGCGACGCGTTCTCCTGCTCCTCCTCCTCCTCCTCCTCCTCCTCCTCCTCCTCCTCCTCCTCCTCCTCCCCCTCCTCGTCCCTCCTCCTCCATCTCCTCCTCCTCCGCCTCCTCCTCCTCCTCCTCCTCCTCCTCCTCCTCGGGTCGCCTACTGCCTCGGGGGGAGTCGTGCAGGTCCGGCTGGGTCGCGCCCGATGTTTCCATCTCCGCGTGCACCCCCGTCGTGTGGTTTTCGCGTCATGTCTCGGCGGCCAGTCGGGACGATCTGGGCACGCCTGGACTCCTCTCGGCGAGGCGCAGCTGCCGGCGAGCATGCCGAGGCAGGAAAGCCTCTGGGAACGGATGAGCGTCCGAGAATCTGGAACCATGAACCTGGATCCTCCCTCTCCACCTTCGCCGCCACCGCCACCTCCTGAACGTCCGAAAATCTGGAACCTTGAACCTGGATCCCCCCCTCCACCTCCGCCGTCACCACCACCTCCTGAACGTCCGAACATCTGAAACCTTGAACCTCGATCCCCCCCTCCACCTCCGCGGTCACCACCACCTCCTCCTGAACGTCCGAACATCTGGAACCTCGAACCTCGATCTCCCTCCTCCACCTCCGCCGCTACCACCACCACCTCCTCTGCGGAGCCGTTTCGTGCCGTCTCCTGGCGCGTCGGTCGCACAGGCGCGGGCGTTCAGAGCCGAGGGGCCCTCGACAGCCTGTGGGGGAACGCTTCTCGAAGTGGCAGACCTTGGTACCCAGGCGACGCAACAAGTGTCGCGATGGCCTAGGTTTTGGACGTACTGGGTCTCTGGAGGCCACTTCCCCGCCCCAGGACCGTTCAAAATCGTTCGGGATGAAAAGGATTTTCGTTTTAGGGTCCGGCGATAGCCCTGGTTATCCGCCCCCTTCCCTCCAGATAACCTGACCTTGTCGGTAGCGCAGGTCCGAAGGGGATGTGCAGCATTGGTGCGCGCCGTCATGCGTGGGGCTGCCCTGAACAAAGAAGTAATATTATCGGCCGGCACCTCCCTCCCCACGGGATAATCCGGGGTATCGCCGAAACCTGAACGATCTCTAGCTGGCCGTGGGGAAGGGCCGAGATCCCTGAGATGCCCATGTTCCCGAGAAGCTGCGACGTCGGAGGAGAGGGGACACGACCACGCCGTCATGACAGGAGCCTGCCCTGTGGCACGCGCCGCGTCGACGCGGCGGCGACCCCAGGGCGGGCTTTGGGTGCTGATCGCCGCCAGAGCCGACGCCGACGGACTTGCGCTGTCGAAAAGCCACGATCGTGCAGGTTGCAGTCGGCTGGGGGGGCTGAGGTGGCCCAGCACTGGTTTTGGCCAGCGGAGGGGGGAGACCGTCTGCTGCTGCCTATAACCTGCTAAACTACTGCCTGTCGAGAGTGGCGCAGGGGGAGGCGCAGAGCTGCCGAGCGCTGGGTTAGCTGGCCTCCTGGCCGGCGGCTGCTGTATCCCTTGGGGGTCGCAACGTCAGCCCTTGGGCCAACCTGGCAAGATAGAGCCTTGCAGTCCTTGTAGCTGGACGGCGCTGGTGACTCCGCAAAGGCCACGGCTCCTGCTACAGACGGGCACTCCAGGTTGCTCTACGCGCCTCCGCGCTGCTCCTGGGCAGGCTGTGCTGCCTGCCCGGCGAATGGGGAAGAGGAGGTGAGAATCAGGCAGACGACGACGAACGCGCAGGCGGGATGCTGGGGCCGGCGGGGTGGGCGGGCAGGCGGAAGGGGGGCCTGGGGCCGGGCGGAGAGGGGGGAGAAAGGGGCCCCATCGTCGCCACGGCTGGACTCGGCTCGAAAACCGGGTCAGGTTCGACCCTGGCAGGGGTCTGGGGACAGATTTTGAGCGGATGTGCCCTCGTCCCCTTCTCCAGCGTCGGGCCTTCGGGGGGCCGACTCCTTGACTCAACGTTCCCGCCCGTTTTCTGCCGAATTCCGTTCCTCTTTCTCTCGTTATCTCTCCTCTCTTCTCCTCCCCCTCTCCCTCTCTCTCTCAGTAAATATGCTCCTCTCCGCCTCATCTTGCACTTGCCTCTCTCGCTGCCTTCCTTGCCACACCCTGACACTGCGGCTTTGTACCGCAGCTATTTATGCTTACAGGAGATGAAAGGAGCGTGCTGGCTCGCACGCGCGCGCCGAGGGGTCGTTCCCTCGTCGTAGTCGTGTCGTCGGCCGGCCGGCCTCCTCCCTTACCATTCCCGAGTACAATTGCTTAACGGTTACTTGTAGTTTCATCGATGTCTCATCCTGTATCCTCTACTACTGAGCAGAGTCAACACGAGACCTTAATTCATTTGTCATCTTACCCCGAGTCTCATAGGATAGACTGGTTATCAGCCGAAACCCGCGACCAACTCGCAACAGGGATGAGCTATGATGAGACAGCCGAATTGCCCGCCAGAGACGAGCTCGTATCACATGTTGTACAACATGACGGGCAAGAACCACAGAACGGCGGCCCAGGGAGGGGCCGCCTTCCCTCTTCTTCTATCGCCACTCGGGTCTCTCGTGGGAGGAGTAGGGGAGAAGTTATAGATTTGTCCAGAGACGATTCCCCTTCTCGGATTCCGATCGGTGATCGTGAACAGACCCCAGACCCGACGAGGCGGGACGGCACAACAACAAAAATAAGACGAGGAGCATTCTCGTTGTTAATTGCCGTATCTTCGGAAACAATGAGCTCCAGCCCGATTGCTATGCGGACTATTGTGTTGGCCGCTGGCCAAGCCAGTGGGTCGGGAGAAGCTGAAGGGTCCAGAAGCGTGTGCCCCACCGTCCCAGACGGATGGGGAAACGCGCAAGGGACTCATCCCATCCCGATGGCCCTGAACGGACAGACCGGCCAAGGCAATGATGAACAGTTTGATGATGGAAACGATATTAACTCCATGGAGGAATACATTGAATGAGTATACCAACTATCAAGTGTCACTTGGTCGAGATTTGTCCTCGATAGTGGATGCAGACCACCCCGTCCAAGACGAGAGGTGGCCCCCTGGGCAGGACACAATCGATTGCGATCTAGTGGAAGCCCTCGGGGAAGCATTTGCAATACCAGATTCGGACATTGAGATAAGTGACCTGACGCCCCAGGCAGCCGAGGCGAGCGGAAATGGAATGTCCGACTCAAGCGAAGCATGACCGGGAGATCACAGGACGAACTCCCGCTCCTCAACTCAAGAAGCAAAGGCATGAGGATTATGATTTGAATGATTCCCCGCTTCAGGAAGGGTTTCATTGAACTGCCGTCGCCGCAGGCGGTTGGCAACCATCGATGCCCGTTGTAGTTGAGGATGATGAAATGATCACCCCCCGGCTTTGCTGGATGAGTTGGTTAGACAACACGAAAGGGATGAGGAGCTCCGAGGGGCGGCTAGACCGCCAGAAAGTACCCACACACGTCCCAGATCGAATGCTTCGAGCCGGGGAAGGCTCAATATACCCAGATCTGGAGCTCGATCCACTTCGAGGAGCAACGGCGCGATATCCATGCGTGAGACATGCTGAACTGGAACCCAAACTGTCCGCCCCAGGCGGAGAACAGGTGCCCGGGGAAAGCCCGCCAGCCGAAGGGGGCTTGTAGGCGTCCAGTATGTAGAAGTTGCCCAGACCTGTGCCCCACTTGTAACAATCAGTGGTTGTGTGTAGACTGCGCGCCGATGGAAGAGCACAGGTGCTCGTGCCTTCTCATCCAGGCGATGCAAAATCAGGCTAGATTTGTTGAGGCCAAAACCCAGCAATAATTTCTGGCCCGCGAAGCCTGGAGGGCCGAGGAAGCCCGACTGGCCCGAGAAGAAATGAATACAGTCGTAGAGGACGTTCGGAAGACGTTTGAGGCTGAGAGACTCGCAATGGCCCAGGCGGTCAGAGAGCGGGAGCAAGGACTGGTGGAACATATGTCCCACCAAACCGCGGCTGCCAAGCAGCGCGCGGGAGAAGAAGCCGAGAACATATATGTTGAGATGATAGCCTCCGAACGACAGGCCGTTATGACGGCAAACAGTCAGTCTGTTGATGCCAAGACC